TTCGCGGTTCATCCCTGGTCAGCTTCGGTCAGAGTCCGCGTCGTCGTGGGCGCTAAAATCCGGGACGAGAAAAGGTGGAGGGCGCTGTTTACTCCAGAACAGCGGCGTCTCCCCCAGAGATTTGGTTGTGGAATTGCGGGATATGAAAACGCGGGGATCTTGTGTGCCGAAGAGCTGGCATTCCGACTCTTTTTCGTGGTTTGGTTCCCGGGAAAATGTCGAACTTGGGATGATGCCTTGGATATCAGCCAACTGGGCACATTTGCATGACTTACATATTTTGTTGCCGTCCACAAGAAATCTCCACAGCGACTTGGGTTTTTTTTACGTCGGGGAAGTTTCTCCAATTCTTGACCCCTCGTAGAGCGTTCTCCAAATGTCAAGAATTGCCGGCAGGGGTGCGAATGGACATGCATCCCGGGCATATGACCACCATGCAGGGTTTTCACCAGGCTGCCCATCCTGAAGACTATTGCACGCAAGAATTTCATCATTACGTATTTCATTCAATGGTTTGTGATGCTTGCCAAGTCCTGCAATAGTCCAGGCTCTTTCGAAATAGCAAACATTGGGTTCTACACGTACAAAGCGCTCTTTATCATGGGTATCAAATAACCATTATTTTAACCCTTCATTCCACGTCTCGTGACAGCATTCGCTTAGACGAGGTACCTGAAGCCCTTGCCCATCTTGCGCGCCGCCTCAATCTCCTCAGTGTTGGTGATCTCAGCGGTCTGGTGCGCAACGTCACCGTGGGCCTCCCACGCGCGCTCGCCGTCCTCAAGCTGCTTGTTGAGGTTGTCGAGGATGCGCTTGAAGATGTAGCAGCCGATGATGGTGACACCGAACATGGCGGTGACGATGCCGTAGCTCTTGCGGAAGCCGTTCTCCTTGAGATCCCAGACGTAGGAGCCGGCGACGTTGCCGAGCTGAGAGAAGGCGTTGATCATGGCGATGGCGACGGCACGCTTGGCCGGGGGACGGGGGAAGGAGGAGGAAATCCAGGAGTAGAAGACGATGAAACCAGCGTAGGAGCTAGCCTGGAGGAAGAGGGCGATGTAGCGAGCGGCAACGTTCAGAGTCGACATCGAAATGATGAAACCGACGAGACCGATGCAGATGGGGCCGACAATGTGCCAGAATCTCTCCTGAGTGCGATCGGCGTGCCAGGCGTTGATGAGAGAGATGATGCAGGAGAAGGCCCAGGGAGGAGAGCTCATGAGCAGAGTCGGGACGTAGCCGAAGCCGAGGGTGCCGGTGAGAGTAGGGAAGAAGGCGTTGAAAGACAGACCGACGACGTACGCAGTGAAGGTCAGCATCATGACGTAGATCTTGACGTCCTTGACAGCCATGTAGAGACCGTCCAGAGGTCCCATGTCGGCGGAATCGGCATCGGCCTCACCAACGTCCTCAGTCATGCGGAGCTGTGCGACGTAGAGCTCCTCCTCGGTGAAGCCCTTGGAGTTGGTGGGGAGATCGGGGAGGATGAAGGCGGCGGAGATGGCGACAGCCATGGTGACGGCGCCCTCGATCCAGAACAGCCAGCGCCATGCAGCGTGTCCGAGAACGCCCTGCATGTTGGACAGGACACCGGCACCGACCAGGGCGGAGAAGGCGTTGGAGATCAGGTTACCGCAGAACAGGATGGCGTTGCGGGTGGTCAGCTCGCGGCGGGTGTACCACTTGGAGAGAATGAGCAGGGCACCGGGCAGGAAGGCGGCTTCGATGAAGCCCAAGCAGAAACGGGTGGCGACCATGCCGCCGAAGTTGTTGGTGACACCAGACAGAGTCGAGATGAGACCCCAGACCAGCATGGCGGCGGAGATGTACAACGAGGGGCGGGAGATCTTGTTGATGATCATGTTCGAGGGGACCTGCATGAGAATGTAGCCGACGTAGAGAATACTCAAGCAGGTGGCGTATTGCGTGTTGTCGAGCTTGAGGTCATCTTGCAGACCGCGAAGACGGGCGGCAGCGATGTTGTTTCTGTCGAGGTAGTCTGTTGTTCTTCATGTAAGTTTCTGTAAAAGAGCCATTGAACAGCTGGTGAGAACCTACTCAGGATGTAGATGAGCACGAAGAGAGAGCAACGCGTGTCGAGCTTGCGCTTCATGCTCTTCTCAACGGCAGCACGACGCGCCGGGTCCATGGTGCGAGGCGCATTCGGGTCATGGGGCTGCTGGTTCTCGACGTTGTCGGCGTGGACGCCCTTGGCGGTTTCCGCCTGGTCAATCTTGTCGTCCATCTTTGCTGGTGTTGTCGGATCTCAGACTTGACTCTTCACACAACGGGTTGTCGTAAGGGAGGGCCGGGCCAGGAGTGAGACTGGTGAGAGTGGTCGGGGAGAAGGGACGTCTGGATTGAGTCGACTTATATCCCGGATGAGGCGTCTCGGAGACGGGAAGCTAAAGCTTATAAAGGGGTGGCAGGCTTCGGTCAAGATCCGCGGGGGAACAAATAGCCACCCCTCAACAACATTTTTAATGTGGGGTGAACACCAGCTGCACCTATCCCGTCCCATCTCGTCGTCCAAGTCTCTGCGCGCGTGGTAAGTAAGAGTTTGACACCTGTCCGGGATCTGTACGAGTGCCCCTGGGCTGGTCAGGCCTATCGACAGCTCCGGCGATGCAGCAATGGGGCTTCTTCGGCCGCATCAGGATGACGTGGGGATAAACCCATCCACGGGGTGAAAGCGCGGGTTGGATGGGGGAGATGTTGGAGTGCGTGAGAGAGACCACAGAGACCGCTCGCCGCTTCGCGTTCGCGTGCGCGGGGAACGTCACCCTGCATCCCGGGGCAAGACGAGCAAAGGCCCAAGGGTGATGAGCAGCTCCATTTGCTCCATTCGCTCCAGTCCCCGAAAGCCGGGTCCTGGTGGTCACATGGAGTCCTGGAGGGCCCCGAAGGTGGGAATCCCAAGTACCTTTGGTGTTCGAAATCCCCAGTTTCCAAGGCGTTTCCCCGAGGGGATCCCGCAATCCCTCTTGGTTGAAAAATGCTCGCACGATTGGGGTATCTCTTTAGACGCAGAATAGGACCGATGTCTTTACCGGAGCGCCCCGCTGCCTTGGCGTTGATTCGCCTCAGGTGCCGTGCGAGATCCGTTATTCCGTATCTAAGCTGCGGCGTTGCTGCACGAGCCTGGCCCGCGTTGGAAAAGAAAGCTGCACATCCAAGCATTTTCAGCGTCCTTTCTCCGCAGGAATGTGGGACTGGGATGGGGAGACAACGTGGGGAAAATCGTCCAATGAAGTTCTCACCGACTAGGCGAGCTTGTCCCGTTACGGACACATGTCCCGGCGTGGGTTCCCTGTTCCGGGAATAAGACCGACGAAAGACGCTCTTTAAGGCGCGGAGTCTTGCGGAGTTTATCGACCGTGACGTGATTTGGTCGTTTCGAAATTTCCTACCCTTCCCGAGCCGACTATCAACTCTCAACATCTACTGTCTCGTTCTCGCAAACACCAGCTCACGTGGCCGCTTACTCGACGGCGATTATGACGTGTTTCGGAGTTTTCGCTGACGGCATTAAACATGGCTTGACCAACGGTCTGTAAAACGGTTAGCAAAAGACGCGCCTCGGCTCTTTGGGGGTCACAACAGGCCGTTGAATCGTTCTACATGAAGTTCATGCACGTCAAACATTGTCGCCCAGATTCTTGGAACGAAGAAAACTGGATGCTGGGCTCTAGCAATTTCCGATTCTTCGACACCGCAACATGCCCATAGCTTGGCAGGCTTGGCTGGACCTAGACTTGTCATGGCCCCGTGGGGTTTTCTCCCGTATTATAAATCCTCATCGAATTAACCTGGACCTCGGACTGGGTTTGCTTGTCAAAATATGTCTGGGCGTTCCTGATGCCCCTCGATATAGTTCCAGTCTGTAGCCTCGCTGGTGGCTCGAAAGCCGACTTGCTCGGGCCAAGATCCTAAAGCCGTACCTGTATCGGATATGATCTTGAAACATATTTGCCTCACTGCTTTCTGCACTTGTTAGTATTCGCTCTTCACATCTCGAACTTCTAGCAAAAAGGACGAGGACGTGATAGAAAGTGTCTTTTGGCCCGGGAAATCATGCAAATGAGTTCTAGAGCAGATTCTCTTGAAAAGAAGTCGCCGTTCGAGCGTAAATATGCACAGAAATAATAAGCGTAAATAAATACTTGCACCAAATCAGTACGATTGCCTCAGAGCAAGGGGCTTGCAGGTCAGTTGCGGAACCAGTAAGGCGTTTTCTCTTTCGTGCGGGGGAAGACATCGGGTAAGCGGATGCTTTAATAGACCGAAACGCGGAGAGAAAACTTCTCATTCTACCTGCGTGGAGAGAGCACCTCCGATTCTGGGGGCGGATTGGTATGCGTTAGCATCTATAGCAAAGCAGTAAGTCTACATGTAGCTTGCGGTTGCTACGGAAAGGCTTGGTGAACCCACCACGGCAGAACGACTGATAGTCAGACCAACCTTAGCCACCACAGTCCCCCTATGCTATCCTATCCCCTACAGCACCTGCTTCCGTCGGCTGCTAAAGATGAGAAGCTGAGCACCTAAAGGGAGGGGTTTTAGAGGAAGATGTCTCAAGGCAGCATACTCCTCAATCCTCGATCATTGATAAGCAGTGCAGAACATGACACAGGTAGAAGCAAATTGCAGATGCTCTCTTTTGGGAGATGATTATACTGACGGCAGCAAAGACTAACGATTATGAGAGCTATCTATCGCGTAGTTGGGGCCAAGTAGACTGTCTATCATGTGGAGCCCTAGGCCTTTATCTTTCGAAATGGGGATCATGGATGTAGGCCAGATTCATTGTACCTTTGTACGACCCAAGCGACGCATGACTGCCTCCTAAGACGGATGTTTTCATGAGATGTTAGGATTCTAGCGTGATCCTAATAATTCTCATCGTCAAGTAAACTGTAGTTTATCGTTGAAGCTGGGTACTACACCTCGCAATCTCACACGTAGCTCCAGCACCAACAACTTCACCAGCCCGAGGCCCCTCAGGCCGCGCTATTCACGACCTCCGCAAGTTTCACTGTCCAAAGCTTATCCATACCCAAGATGACCAGAGTGTCCCCGGCCAACTCAAACTGCACAATTGCCGTAGAGACTGGGTCCCTCGTAAAGTAGTACGCGTTGAACACGCCAATGACTTTGCCCTCTGCAGACCGTACCACAACTCCTTCACCTTCGCCGGTCCAGACCCTTCCTTTGTCGTCGATCCGAATCCCATCGGGAGCTTGCATTCTCGCAACACCGAACATGCGCTTGTTAACAGGCCACATGTTCTCGTCAAAATCGTAACTGTAAATGGCAGGCGCGCCAACCTTGGCAGGCAGGCCCCAGATGCGGCTCCTTTCCTCGCCGCCAAAGTCTGTGACCCAAAGCTTCTTCTGGTCTTTGGAAACCCGCACGCCGTTGGCAATCGGGTAGTCGGTCCTGCTGATGGCCGGGAGCAGCGTCTTAGCCTGGGGGTCGAAGCGCCACAGGCCTTGGGGGACTGTGTCGTTGCTAACGACGCTGTCGGCGGAGGGAAGAATGGTGATATACATGTACGACTTGTTTGTACCAGGCTGCGTGACCCATGCCACATCGTCAACGGCGTCGAACTTGAGGCCAAAGTATGAGTTCAAGATCCACTCAACTTCGCCCGTATCGACATCGACTGCGAAGACACCGCCAGGCCAGCTGCGGGTGTCATCACGAAGGCTGGTGAAGTAAACGCGGCCTTGATGGTAGTAACCGCCGTTAGGGTTCTGAAGGGGCTCCGACGTGGTCAGATTGCGGATAGTGCCGTTAGTCAGATTCAGGATCTCGACACGAGTTGGGCCATCGTTGATCCACGTCGTGTACCAAACCTCGTTGCGCTCGCTCACCCAAACTCCAGCCTCGCCGGCAAAGTTCTCCTCGCGCTGGTCAATGAGCGTCGGCTCCGGGTTTGGTCCAAGGAGGGCAAGGAATTCGTCGTCATAGGAGATGAATGGTGCCTTTTTGGCAGCGGCAAAAATAGTGTTGGTGTCGTCCGAAGTCGAGTTTCCATTTACAAAGGCACCAAAGATGCTTCCTTCAAAAGTGCCGGGGAGGAGATACGTCAGTTCGTAAGGAATGGATACAACGTCTGCACAGAAAACGGGCAAGATGCCGAGTAAAAGAAAATAGAAAGAATGACGAGCCATCTTGGTTGGCTTACAAGATTTAAACACTGAGCATGAAGTGGTCTGGAGAGTCGTGAGTTAGTCGGAAAGGCAGCAAGCAGCGACGTCTTTATACATCCAGTGGTGTTGAGCATCTCCATTAATATCGGCTGGAATCTTTGTTTTGTTCCATGGGTAGCAATGATAAAGTGGTAAGCACCCCCAGTTCCAACGGCCATATCCGAAATATTGACAGCTGAATATGATATCCAAGATATTTTGTGATGGTGAGTGACAACGAATCGAGTCGTGAACTGCTCGAACAGTTCAACCCTGGCTCCGAGCCTCCACCGAATCGCCTGAAGAGGCTAGCGTTCCGGTTTGCATATCCACGATCCAACTTTAATTTGAGAATAATGCTATTTAAAGGAGAATTTATGACGACCATTTCGACGTGAAGTCCGGAACACATGGAAAAGCCCATTTTTAGAAAATTCTCATATCTCGTCTTGTCATTGAAGGCCGGACTGCGCTGCTGACTGGCCGGCAGCTTCCGGTGTTGAAGGCCCACTCCTAGTTCACCACCGGCATGACATTAACGTCGCGTAATCTGGTGGATAGAGCTTCAAAAGGCAGGCAGGAGTGCATTGAGTAGAGTATTGTCCCATTTGCTTCGAGAATTTATCTTGCTATTCTACCATCCAAGGGTGCTGCAGAGCGCTGTGCCCTGCACCACCTGGCGTGATGTGCGCCACCAAGGCTAGGTCTGAGTCCCAGTTGCCCCTGCCTAGGTGATTAAAATGCGAATTGTGTTGTGGATTTTCTATCTTTCGCCTAAGGTCTTGGTTAATCGAATATCAGAAGAAACTGGCGTTGTATTACGCGGGCACTACCGGACTTCAGTGGCTGATCATGTAGGAAGAAGTCAACGTCATATGAGTTCTGGCACGGGTGGCAGTGGCGTGTCAAACGGAAGTGCTAGGGAGCGATGGCCATGAAAATGGATCTACAGAATCACGTTTTGGTCAAACATGCGTTAACTTCCATGATCAAAGAAGGCACCGAAAGCGCAGGCATGTAAGTCGGCCAGTTCTAGACATCAGCCCCAGACAGATATGGCGCCACTGAAAGTTAGGGTCACTACACACAGGTCACGTTGAACTTCATGCTTTGAAATGATTTTCGGCGGTATCCGACCTTGATGCTCACGCAACCAAAGATTCAGACAAATGCAATGTCTGATGTGGATCAAGCCCGGAACCTTCCTCGATAGCATCATCGTTGCACGTCGATTTGGAAGTGATCGGCTGGACCATCAGTCTTGGCCTGTTGCGAGACCTTCATGGGGCGGAAAGTCGCTCGTCCGATGTTGCCCGAATACATCGCCTTCCAGCAGCAGCAGCAGCAGCAGCAGCGATCGCCCCAAATCTCTGACACCCGTGCCTGATGAGGCAGTAGTAATGTGCGTTTGAAAGTGAGCAAATGTAGGCCTGGTATCGATCTGCGTAGTGAAGCAAGAAGGGTCCAAGTCAGTCCGGGGTTTGTCGATCCGGGTGATTGTGGGCGTTACCATTGGACTGCGCCGCACGGGGTCAAGTGAATGTTAATGAGCCCACCACCTACACGAAGCAAAGATTGCGTCCACAGCGTCATCAGAGGTGGCGTATGACGCCTGCAGCCGCTCATTGGGCCTCGCTTAGTTGCCTTAGGAGGCGGTGCTGAGTATGGGAGTCGTCGGTGATGGCGATGTTGGGATCTTCGGTCAGCTGGCTTTCGGAACCAAATGAATGAAGTTTGAAGTTGGAAAATGATTCTCGTGATAGTCTAATTGTGGCTGTAAATGACGTGGGCGCGTTTTACAACCAGTATCATTAGCTTCTGGGCGGATGAAGAAGTTATTTAAACCCTTCTGGATTCCTGTCAACTCAAGTATGCATATTTCCTGATCCCACAACAACACAACAACCAAGACCAAGAAGAACATAAACCCTATCATTTTCAAGAGATACCAGAATTTTCCAAGGATCGTTCATAATGGCCTTCAAGTATGTCAACTATATAATGATCCTCAACACCTCACACTATGCAAGACACTAACGAGAATCTCCCAGCTCAAACCGTCGCTTTTCCTTCTCCATCTCGCCCGCATCCAAGGCCTCGAAGCGCGTGATGGCCGAGCGCAATGATAACCGGCGTTCTTTCGACTCCCAAGCCAGCTCCTCTACCCTTGGGGCGATGCCAGTCGTCGAGGTCGAGAGCTACCTGACCGCTCCGGCTGCCCGGTGGTCTACGGCGAATCGCATCTAAAAGATGGTCTCAGTCGAACACGGTGTGGAGGATGTACGATAGATGGGACTACGACGTGGAAAATTGTCCTTGAACTGCAGAAGTTCGTCCCGATATAGCGAGTCTTTTGCGGATACCCACATCAACACAGATAGTTGATCGTTTCAAGGATCAGATGCACAAATACGTTGCGTCGAAGGAATACAGATAAATCAATTCTACAAATGCAAGCGTTCTAAGTGAAGCAGCCACTGTCCAAACACAGCCAAATCCCATTACTATCCCTATTACAGTTCCGTTTTGTTGCGAATCAAGAATCCAGCGCCTTCAGATGCTCTACTTTTGTGTGAACTTGCTCTCTCTCTCCAACCACTTCTCGAAGTTTAGTATTCCACTGTGCTGTCTCTTCACTAAGGCGATGTTGACGCGAAACCCGTCAGTATAGAACCATCTGTACATGGCTCCGAAGTCCGCGATAATCCAGTGAAGGAACCTCACAAAGAATTGGAATGTTTCAGGGATCTCCGTGCCGATTTTTCTCTTGAATACTGCATTCGCCTCGTCGAGAGTAAGCTCGTCGCCTGCAATGGGAACCTCCTTGCTGGCAAAGTCTTGGGGGCGAAGAAATGATTGTGCCGCAAAGTAACCGACATCCTTGACCGCAACGAGTTGAAGCGGCTTTTCCTTCACCGCAACCCTCCATGAGGTTGCCATGATTTTGGTTTCCATGCCCGGTGTCATGTTGTCCATGAAGGCGACGGGTCTAAGAATAGTCCAGGTCATCTTATTCTTCGCCTTTTCGACGAGGTGGTGCTCGATGTTGTATTTACTCTTGAAGTGCTGGACCTGGGGAAAGACGTTGTCGTAAGATGAATCACCTCCGCGGTCTATTGACGAGTAGACAAAGTGCTTGACATTGTTGGCGAGAGCTTCGTCAATCAGAGCCTTTCCTTGCCTCTCTTCGGACTCTGCTGAGGCACCTTGACCTATGGCCGTCTGTGGGAACACTAGTTAGCATCTGTTCTGCTCGGCATGAAGTCTCCAGACTGTACTCACTTGCACGCTGTACACGCCCCAGATTTCTGCCGTTGAGCCGCCCAATGCTGACTTTGCTGAGGCGAAGATGGCTGGAACGTTGTTGAGATCACCCTTGAAGACTTTAACTCCCTGCGCTTCGAGAGCTTTTGCTGATGCTGCGGCGGGGTTGCGTGTGACAGCAAGGATGGTGTGCGTATCTCCAGCACCAGCATCCAGGAGAGCTGAGATGACAGCGCCACCTTGTTTACCGGTTGCGCCGGTGACAAGTATGGACTTTTGGTTGATAGATTGACTCGACATGTCGAGAACTTAGGAGTCAGAAGTTGTTATACTGATTTGTAGTCGTGATGAGGTAATTTTGGCAGTAGGAAAAGCTGTAGGAACAAAGGTAGATGTTCTGATGGGTTTGCTGTAGAGTTGTGAGTCTGATGTCATTTTAGTCGACTATACCAGCTGAATATATATAGATGGACTTCCATCCTGTTCGGCATTTCGCTTCTCGCGAGCGACTTCCACCATGGATGATGAAGAAATCATTTCAAAGCATTCTGCAGAGCCAAGCACATCAAAAATTACTATGCTTGTGCAGTGGAAATCGACAGCGACCACCAAAACACTTAGCGACTACCCAATTTGGTAAGTTTCGTCGAGCTTCTCAGCGCCCCGAAGGCCGAGAACAGGGGTTGTGGCGTCAACAAGTGGTCAGATACGCTTAGCAATCAACTGCGGTCTCCATACTCTGATTGGATAGTTGGGCCGCGAAAGGATGACCGCGTCAAGGGATGCGATCCCACCACTGAGAAACGCGACAGGAATGCGGCACGATGCGGTACTTTTGAATTCAAACTTTCCGTTAACGTGTACGAATCCTACAATGCAGTGTGCATGCTTACATATATATCGACTACAACGCGATACCGAGTGAGTATCATCAAACGTTGCCATTCAGAAGACACCCCCAACAAACATTCAAAACCGAACTCCACCTTCATATCAAGTCTTGCGTGGTCCACCTCAAGATAACTTCTCAAAGTCTTCAGGACCAAGAGACCTATAATCTAGGACCCGCCCCACGTGTGTTTTGTCAATAGACTCGCAATTGCGCCTGATCTTCATCATCAGAATCCGTATGAATTGAATGAGACCAGTGTCGCACATATTTGCGTCCGCTGCATCATCGTCTGCAGAGCCAGGCGTGAGTCCAAGAAATTCGCAAGCACTGGCATACTCTTCGCAAGACTTAAAGTATAACTGGCCAGAGAAAAGATTCAACTCTGTCGTGCTCGGTTGGGGGAGATACCCGGTCCACTTTCGCCGAGGGACAGTGTAAAGATCTAGCTTGTCAAGCGGACTAAAGCTCATGTTTGGACGCGGAGCATAAAGATGCAGCCGCACGAACCATGACCGTTTGATTTCGGGGAGAAGCTCTTGCGCTTCGTAGGGGCTGACGATGATAACAACATCAATCCCACCCTTCGTAGACTTTTCTCTGGGAATTGTTGTAAGAATCCACTGCACGGATCTTTGAAATAGATCAGATACATAGCGCTGACAGGAGGGCAATTTGGGGATGATCGTCTTCACAAAGTCATTTGTGACCATTATCCTCCGAGGGAAATTTCCAACGGCGAAGTGAGCCGATGCACTCGTATTGCCCAGAGACATGAAAGCTGGAACCCAGGCCTTTGAATCAGATGTAAAGGTACCATCAGAAATGAGAGCTCTGACGTCTGGGTGGATAGAGTGTTGCTGTGGTTGCACGGGGGGCGGCCTTTGGATCTCCCGCTCTTGCTCGACTTCGGGGGAAAGCTCACGCTCCTGTTCCTCCCGAAAGGTGGACGAGTTGGAATTGCGTCCTCCAAAACTGAGAACCCGCTCGGTGATGAGATCGCCTTCCGTGTGATCTGATAGGTGGACGAGCTCTTCGCTGTTGTTCTGGGCGGGTCGATATCGCGACTCCAAACTTTGCGCCTCTTCCTCCAGAAATTTCTCGGCGTGAGCTGCATCCAAGCTGGTCGCGCCGTCGACAGATGCCTCCTCCCATAATCGTTTATGGCGTTGATGACGTCTGCCCTGGTTTGCCCACAGCCAAATGCCACGACTGAGATCTACGAAAGTCTCGGAAATGGCCCACTCAAGTATGTCGCAAACATCAATGTTCGTGGTCTCTCGAGTATGAGATTGTGCTGCGATTTTCTGCTGTATTTCATTGGGGACACAGAAGACTACAGACTGGCCCTTTCCCAGTTTTCGCATTCGCATGCAGGCTATTGTCACAGTATTAGCTAATGGTTCGTATTTTAATTTTATGAAGTCCAGGGGTAGGGTTACCTTGAACCAACCTGTCTTTCGTCAGGTTCGCACCGAGAGTGACTGCCGCTCGATAGTTCTCTGGTAGCTTGAGGTCGGTACCTCTGGTGTGCGCTTCATCTAGAAATACGAGACAGACATCAGGCTGACTTGCAAAAGCCGACGTATGGAATATCTGCACTTGGTGACGTCGATCTATGACGCAAATATTGTCATGCTCGTCGCAGAAAACAACAGCTTGCGTGTGCCCGTCGTCCTTTGTCATCTCAAGCCAACGCTTGGCAACGCCAATGTTGTCAAGTTCCAACACCTGCGCGCCAACGTCGAGAATGACGCGAACTTGAGGGTCTAACTTGGTAACCATCCCTAACAGTGCCTCAGCGTCGGACTGCGTCACATCTTGCCGAGTTGGCATCAACGACACAGAATTCTCGTCTTGAAGGAGATACTCCAAAACCAAAGCATTGGTGTGCTGCTGTGTGGTATCATCAAGCTGAGATACCGTAAGCGGTAGAAATGCTCGGAAGTCGTTGGTGCCACTGAATCCAGTGGTAGGATGCGGCTTCACTTCTCCGATGTCCCAACCTGAGGCCGATAGTTTGTGCGGAAACTCTTTCAGCTCTTTGGGGAACACAATATGTGCGAGGAAGTAGTCTATGACGCTCTTGGCGTATCGCAAACATGGAAAGAGAATTTCGGTGCACAGCTGATAGTCGTCCAAGTTGACACCTGAGAGTTGATGAAAGGCCAGCGGCAATCCGTTGCTATCAGCAACCCATACGTCGTACTCCATGTCAGACTGGTCAGAGCGCACCAGATGATGAAAGCTGAGAAAAATATCGTCATCCTTCAAGCCCTCGTAGTAATAACTCAAAGACGTCAGAGTTATGATGACCTCGGGGTGACTGAACTCCGATCGAGCGGCCGGGCTGTCCATGGCCCGGTAGGGTACTGCCAGCCGCGTTTCGGGATTCCTTGTCTCATCTGGACCATAGTCGACTCGCCATCTTTTCTGAGAAAACACAAAGTTGAGGACTCCCTGAGCAAATAGCCCCCTCAGAAGGAGAAGCGTTTCCTTCGTAGGTGAGTCCCACAGTCCGGATTGTTCAATGGAATCCACTTCTGATTCAGTGAGCTTGAGCTTTGTGATGTAACAGAACACAGCTTCGCGAACGCCGGCTGGCTGTTTCGTCATGGGCAGACCTGTTGAGCCATCTCTGCTCAGTCGCCATGCGACGCCATGGAATAGTCGATTTCGTGCGTCTTCGTTCAGAATACGCAATCTAGGGAAACCACCTTGTGGCCAAGAGTTGATTTCTATGGGGGTGAAGTCATCCTCTCGCGATTCTGGAAGCAGCTTCCTTATGACATCCAGAACATGGTGGACACAGACCCAGCGATCTGGGCTGTGCTCGATTGACTGCTGGATACCCATGGTGTAGACCAATTCAAATTTGACACTGAAGTTTTCGTCACTTTCATCGACAATGATCCGAGAATGCTTATCCAAAAGGTCTTTGGTTTGGAGCAGCAGGCGGCTGATATCCTTCTTTTCCGCGATTGCGGATTCGACGCACATTAGCTGCGGGGATAAAATGTGCGGAGGCTGGAGTAACAGCACATCACCAGACGCCATGCATTCCCGAAGAATGGAATTGATAGTGTTTGCTTCGGCCGTACCGACTCGAACATCTCGGGAAAAAGGCATGTAGAAAATGCGGCGATTACACAAGCCACCAAGCTTAGAGATCAGCATCTGCTGCATCTGCTTGGACTGCGGCTTTGCTACAGTGGCGCAAACGATCCGGGAGCCGTCTGCTTCGGAAGATGCAACCATTGGTAAAATAACGGATGATTTTCCTTCGCCCATGTTGAGCTGCAGAACGGCGTTCCTGCCTGTAGGAGGATGCCTCATCTTGTCCGCAATGTCTTGTTGAACTTCGCGAACCATTATACCGCTGTCAATCTCTAAAAGAAGAGTGTCAGGATAGACCAGAGGATCCCAGTTGGTGTGGCCTAAGTTTCGCAATTCATTTGTCAAGGCGGCGACATCGCCCCAGCTGTTAAGCATCCGCTCCGCCCGCTGTAGGTGTGTGATAGAAACGCCGTAGTCAGCAATGAATTCCTCCCATGCTTTCAGACTGCTTCCCAAGTTATCCTTGTTCAGCCTTTGAAGGATGAAGACAGGGTTGATTCGCGGCATTTGGAAGAAGTTATGCTGTTGGGAGGGGAAGCCCTCCTGACCAGCACCGAGGCTGAAAACAGCTTCGAGAATTCTGCAGTGACGGCGATGCACATCTTCCCGGCACGCTTGGAGATACTCAACGAAGTCCTCCTTCCTCGGCGTTCCATGGATAGCGATCTGGCCGGTCTTCTGGTCTCCCCGCTGCATAGCCTGCAAGCTTGAATGAAGATCTTTCACATACTGTTGCTCGTACGACCCCTGAGCTTTGTCTTTCAAGCGCTGAATCAGCTTCGACAGCCGATACTGCCGCTTCAACGGTCTGCTGCAACTACCCCACTTGAATTGGGGATGCTCTTTGACGGGTGATGGAGGTTGTGCGTTCCGAAAGATGTCACTGGCGGCCACGAACCCCTGCTCTCTGCACAGGTTCCATGTTGGTGTTGCCAAAAGTGGGTTTGGAAGTTCAGGTGGAACTATGACAGATGGCAATCTTGACGCGATCCTATCGAGATACTTTCGGAACTGCAAATTGTCGTACCACCTTTCGAAAAGGCTGTCAAGCTTCAAGGTAAGATTTTCGAGTTGGATGTATGTCTTCCACGTAGAGCGATGTTCGCCGTTGAGGGGCAATTTGGGTGATTTGCATGGCCACTGACGTTCAACGCACGCCCGAAGACTCCTGACAGCTGCAATTCGATTGCTTGCCACGCTGGTCGTCCTTCGAGCGTCAAAATCTGTGTAAGACTCGTATCTTTCCTGACTCCAGTGGGCCTCCGGACATTGTTCGAAGGGCACGAACTCTGCTCCTATGCAAATCTCCACCTCATCAGTGTCGAAGGAGGCGCCAGCTGACAGTACAAATTTCGGACACTCAATCTTTGGGACCACCACTTGAGAAACCTCTGATGTGGTCTGAAATGATGCCAAAGTTTGAATTACATCCATATCCGCGTTGCCGGAGTAGGCCAAAGTCGCCAGCCATATCATTAGCTTGAATTTGCATATAGTAGGTAGTACGGTTTTATGCAAAGCAAGCCAGTGCTCGGTGATAAAATCAGAAGACTTCTTGAGAGTGCCGGCATCGTAGTTAATACCAGTCGTCACTAACGAAGACTTTGTTGTACGAGCATCAACCGATGGCCCTTTGGCTAGGTAATGCCAAAGACGCTCTCCCATCGACGAGTGAAGCGGCTCAACCAGCACTGATTTACCGAAAAACACAGCTTGAGCGACTGAGAAAGACTTCGAGAACTTGTTTGTCGTGGTTCGGTCTCGAGCCTCATACACAACGTCCGTCTCGGGAGTGTGTCTTTCCGCACCGAATCCCGACAAGCGAAACGTTGCTGACCGAGCATTGTCGCGACTAAGTAATTCGGGCGACACTTGTCTGATATAGCTCGCCGTCGGAGGCTCGATGTAAGAACGTGGATGGAAGAACTTGGCCCTTTCTGCAATGTTGAGTATTTCTCGGACGCACTCGAGAAAGAATCCATGCTGTGATAGTGAACTAAGCCCCGGCTGCCAATCCACTGCCTGCATGACCCGCTCATTGGAAGGATAGTACGTCCGTCCAGGAGTCAGGCGTGCAATGATGCACAGCATATCACTGTTCTCCTGCGTCAATATGTCAAAAGACTTGACAGATGCGGAGCTCAGAATTGCCAACGCCACTTCAGTACCAGTCCGCTTCGTCAGCGGGTCTGGAATGCAGAAGGAAGTAAGTGCATGGAGGTAACACAAAAATAGCTTGCTCTGGCAACTCTCATTGCCGATGAGCCTGCCCAGTCGATCATCGACATCGTATGTTTGAACCCTTTGCCAAGTCAACTTTTTGATGTCAACCTCCAGATGATCTTCCGTTGCGCGGTGCGATGCCTCGCCTTCAAGGATCAGCACCTTACGCGAAGGAGACAGTGAAGAACCTCGTTGACGATGTTCTTTCAAGACCAGTTGACTTTTCAGTCCTACCAAAGTACCAATTGACTGACACGGGTCGATGCACATGCCTCGATACTGCTTTGACATAATGGTCGTGGATCCTGGCTGTAGGCTGAAGTCAAGTCCCAAACATGGAAGCTGAATCAGAATCGAAGCGTTGAGATGATTAAGAGTCGAATGAATCCAAAATCGGTCGTCAAGTGGCTCTAGGACCCTCGAAATGAGTCTTGAAAATTTTCCATTGACGTCAATCAGTGAACTGTCTTCGTTGGAAAGTTTCCAGAAGGTATTTTCACCAAGTTGATGTCGTCTCAATCGCCAATTCGACTGCGATCGATGCCAAGGATTGTCCCTATGACAAAACTCAATGGAATGATCCTCGTGGTTGTACCATTGAGAATAGTCATCGACAAAAGATATTGGAAAACTTCCACGCAAATGACGTGAAGGAACCAGATCAAAATGCTCGTCGCCTTTGATAGCATGAACAAGAAGATCGGCCTCAGGAGGTTCAGCTGTGCGATCAAGATGTAAGTGAACATTGTGGTCGCGAAACACAGCCTTCGATGAAAACTCCATGCCTGGGACAGCAGTAGGCACAATTTCGAGAGATAGCCGTCCAAAAAGCCGTTTGTATGTTAAATGGCTCAAGTATTGTTTGGGCAAATGATCTAGGGGAACACCGTCGACAAGAAGCTCGCCAGTCAGAAGGCAAAAGTGCACAACCTGACCTAGTGCCGTGGAAGTAAGGAGCCAGTAACTCAGATTGTTTGAGACGGCTTTCCAGCTGCTGATAGGTTGGTAGGCAGCCCAGGACTCCTTGACGGCGTGATCAATTGCAATGCTACTCTGACCGGTGAATCTCTGAGACAAGTAGCGATGACAACTGTAGCATGCTTTCTGCCACCGGCGGTAGAGGTACTGGACTGGCGTCTGAAGGGAGTACAGGAGAGAGTCGGAGAACTCCTGAATGCCGATGGAGCATTGCAGAAAGATCGATGCATTTTCGTCAGTTGCTAGCATGGTGCGCTGGAATGCTTCATCGACCGCGAAAGTGTCCGAACATATCAAGAACGACTCCATTGCCCTTTGCTGAAATCTGATCTTGTTCTTATCGTCATGTATGTTCCGTGCCTTCTCCCGTAAAAAGTTCGCCCACGTGAAGGCTACCTTTCTCGCCGTGTACAAATAGACAAGGCATTGGTTTTGAACGTCTACTGACTTGGTGACAGTAAGCAAGCGACGTGCCAGAGCTGTGAATGTAGCCAAAGCTGCTGAGCATTGCCAGTTCTTCTCGCAACGGTTTGTGGACTCTGTGAGGCCTTGCAACATCTTGCTTGAGAAGTCATCTTCTTCAACAATGATATGCGCTTCTCTCAGATCAGTAGTTCCACGCGGTCCCGCTTGATAAATGCATTGACAAACGATCAAGCCAACGTCCCATTTTTTGAAGTCAACGGTTGGTGCGAAAAGTTGAAGTAGAATATTCTGCCAAGCGATCCTAAATCCCAGCGGTATCGAAGCGAGCGCCTTGTATTCGTCCAGCGACATGTCGTCTGGGCACTGGCTCTGTGAGGAAATGACGGTGTTTGGAGAGGGACCGTTCGGGTCCCGATCGGGTCGAAAAAGAAAGTCTTGCAAGGGCGAAGCAGTTTTAGAAAGCTTGTACGTGCACTTATGTCTTGTGATGTCGGGAAGCTCCATTGAGCCCGCGTAGGAAGACGCTTTGTGATCGGAGTACGCATAATGCAATCCGTTCCTGAGAAGAATATCGGATTCGGCGATTACGCCCACTGCCTTTTCCTTGCGGTGTGTCACGGCGTTGGGTTTGGTGTTAGAAATCAGGCGGAGTCTTTGGGGCCTAGCCTCGCTACGAAAGAATTGCCTGAGCCCATCGTAACTTTGGAGGTCAAGGGAGTAGCCAGAATTAGACTTTCGTTGATGGGAATACTTGGTTTCGAGTACGTCGAAGAGAAAGAACATACTAGCCTCTCTCCAGTGTCCAAAAGACTGGGGTAGGGCGAGTTCAAAAACCGTTGACTTCTTGGCCAATGCATCTGATGGCAGTGGCCACTCGTGGATAGCAATTGTTATGCTTTCAGCTTGGGTTTTGTATAAACACCTCTTGCATTGATTAGCGACGTGTGCGTAGTAGTGCCGTTTTGAGCGATTGTCGAAACATTGGGTGTCATTGCAGGAATTGACCCGGTACCGTTGCATGAGGTTGTCGTACTGTTTCTTCTTGTTTGCAAATTCTCGGCGCTTCTGTTCTCTCTCTTTCGTTGCGTGCGCCTCAATCTTCCGGCACAGCACTCGATGAGTCTCTGACTGATCGAATGTCCGAGCCCCGAAGCATGTGCCCTCCCCGAAGGCCGCGTAGATATGTGACTGGGAGAACTGAGGCTTGCAACCCCGCAGCCGACTGTCGAGATAGTTCTCTGCCTCGAATAGCCTTTGCATGTCTTTCCTGGAGGGCAGAAGCAGATTCTGAAACATCCCAATTGGGATGTTGGGGTCGTAGTCCAATAGCATAGGATGGGCCTTCGTGGCTGCCTTGTCGCAGGCGATCCAAATCTCGAGATTCGTAAGTATCATAGTCGATGTCAGTTCCGGATTTCCTTGGTACAAGCTGCTGGCCGCGCTGTGGTAGATTTCCATGACATTCCGCAATTGTGAACAAATCATTAAGGCGTCCTGATCAAGTTGGTTCTGCAGCCAGTCGTCAAGATTTACCGCAATCCAGGACTCGAAAACCATGAGATTGACAAATCGATACTCTTTATCAATCAATTGAAATTGCAGGCCACCCAAAGGAGGCAACATATCCGGTGCGTAGTAGTTCAAGGTCCATGTTGGAGAGAACTCGCGTCCAGAAGACGATTTGGTCCGGTTCTTGACTGAGTCAAGGAATGCATCAAGCCGTGGAAGGCTTAGCATTGTGTCATTGGCGACGTCGAAAGTGTCTAGCTGCGACAGGTCGTGAGTGAGATCTCGGGAGCTGCTCTTTTGTGTCGCTGACCACCTCTGCATGAGAAGTTCATTGGTCGTGCACATACGCCGACGAACCACATCCAACGAATTGGTATTGACCGTCGAGCCCATTTTCTTCAGTCGTCTGGCAAGTTTCGCCGTCATCTGATACAGTACATCAGAGTGAAGGCCCGTTTTTGTAGACTTATGAAGAAGCTCGGCCATGAAAAAAGCCATGAAAACTTTGTACAGGTCGAAGTCTGTATGGGCGCCCTCCCTGGAGCCTCGGTGGAAGATGAGCTGTAGAACAACGCGAATTAGAAGCCACATGGGAGATCGACGCCATGGATGAAGGCAATCTTTCCATAACACCTCATCCCTCGTGTTCTTCCAAATTCTGTCTTCTTGGAGAGATTCTCCGGGAACCAATAGGAAACTGTGTAATAATTCTGTAACCATCTTCGGATGCGCTGTGTCTCGAGTCTCATCATGTAGCTGACCAGCCTTCCTGACCTGAGGTAGAGTGCCTGGTGCAGCCTGGGTGCTCATTTTTGCCAAGGTAGCAACAAGAGTCTCGAGAAAGCCGGGCTCGAGGGCTCTAGCTACGCCAACCGTAACGCCTCGTCCTGGAAAGCTTCTTCGAAGTCTCCCGATTGTCCCGGTTACAGCAATATTAGTAGGGGAAAGTTCGAAAGTCTCAAACTGCAACGCATCTCTCGCACGGGTAATGAGCATGCCGGCATTCTGCTGCTTGACGTACAGGGCAATCGACTCTGAATGACAATTAGTTTCAGCTCGCTGCTCGATTTCCGAGACACTCACCTTGCTCTGATAGAGTGGAGAGAATTTTGAGAAGGGATTGCTCATCAATAGCTATGGCGTCGTGGAGCGGCGTGTGAACCTGAAGCATGTGCTGCATGGCGACACTGGCTATCTCGACAGAACGCGCAATCTCAGGTCCAAGATGGCGTTTGAACTCAGACAGAGACTGGCATACGAGCGTGAGCAGAGCAAGCTCGTTGTGAGGAGAGAAGTCGCTCTGCTGAGGAAGACGAGATGGAAGGAAAATGTGATGGAATAGGTAGAGAGCAATCGCATCCGGCGTTGTCTCGCTATCCGCTAAGTTCTCAAAAGCCATTTTGATGCTGGTTTTGGTGATGTTCTGACGGTATGTGAGTGCTAGCAGTGATAATACTATCCAGAAATTGTTTGTATAGATGAAAGGTCTGAGGGGGCTGCGCTACAATCGTATTTGGTTCACAAATTGAGGAGAAATCCATCAGGTGCATTTTGTCTTGGACACCCTGCTGTGTGAGACCATCCAGGCGGTGCATGGAACCTTGCAGTGCCATTAATTTGTCTGCAGGAGGCCTTCCAGACTTTCTCGTTAAAGTTCCAAGTGGAAAAAGGGAAAGGGTTTAAAATGACCTTGTGGATGCATTTCGGACACACAAACTTTCCTACTCGCTCCATTGTAGGCCTCAAAGTCTGATATCAAAACTCCCATGCAAATAGTCCTCACGTACCAGGGTCGTGAATATCATAATGTAAATGGCGTGATTTTTAGATAAGAGAGGCATCTTCCCAATGAAAGTTAATCAGCATAACTTTCGGAGCGTGTCTTTGTACCAACGAAGAGCAGCTGATCGATTTTCAACACTGCACGTGAATATCTTGCTCAAAGACCATACAACATGGTTTCTGCCTCACACCAGTCCCAGAACTTCCTTGCCAATGAACTTTCGCTGCCTGGAGACGATTGAAACCCATCGGAAATATCATCGGGGATACACCCAAAACGGCCCCATGGAACGATGTATGACCCGTTCTTTTCATTCGTCACCTTGGGGGAGCAAGCTGCGAAGAGCTCGCTGTAAGCCCCGAATTTTGACGGCTTGAAAACGACGCTCTACGTAGGTCGGCATGAGATGAGAACTCTTGATGTTCAAGTGCTCTGATACGTACCATTATTTTGCCCATTGCAGCTGGTGCATGTCTCTGCAGCTCTGTCTTTACAAGACCTGGATTGACGCTCTGGGTATTATGAGTCGCAAGACCTTGCTCGAAAGGGTGTGACGTCCGCTTACCACTGAGATGATCCCATCATTCTCCGTCTTGTTTGCAAGTTCCTTTGCCAAGAATACAACACCCACTTTGCTTTGCATGTAATCACCCATTGAGTCGCCCAGCTCTTCTGGTGCGTCATTGGCAGCATTCCAAATGACGCCACCTTTCGGGGCTCCGAGTGAAATCATGCTGGCGATCCACACAACTCTCACACTGCCCTTAGCGACTCCTTGCATTGCAGCTGTATCACGCAATATCTCTTGCAAGCATTTGGTCAAGAGGAAGGGGCCTAGAGCATTTGTACCCATTTGCAGTTCATGGCCTTGGGCGCTCCTGCTGTCCTTGGGAGGCATCATGACGCCTGCATTGTGAACAAGAACGTCAAGTCTCGTTTCCTTCGCGAGAAAAGAATCTGCTGCTGGCTTGATTGTTGTCAGATCCGAGAGGTCGAGCACTAGCGACTCGAGACGTCCTTGACTCGACGGGTAAAGCGATTTGAGTTCCTTGATAGCTGTGGCAATCTTAGACGCGGATCTTGTGGCGATGTAGATAGTTGCATTGGCGGCATAGAGGATCTTGCAGAGTTCGAAGCCAATGCCGGAAACTCCTCCGGTGATGAAAAAGACCTAGCGATGTTAGTTGAGGGAGTAAAGTTGTGGCTATTGTGGGTGGGCGCTTACTCTGCCACTTTGGTCTGGCAACTCGTCTTCTGTAAATGTTGGCTTAGGTGGAAAGAGTTGGTTGAAGTTGCGTCCGGCCATGTTGATTGCAGTGTTGAGGGTTGGAAAAAAGTGTCTGATATGACGTTATTCAATTGATGCTGAAAGATGAGCAGTACGTACAAATGATTTTATTATTCGTAGGACTATGGATCAACGTATAAGTAGTCGATTCATCTTGTTCGATATATGTTGCGCGGCCTGGCGAGTCGGCGCGCACGATCTAACCAAGTATGGCGCCGCAACATGGCTTCAACATTGCTCGGTTCACAATGATCGGAAGTTCATTGAGACTGGCCCCATAATTACCGATCCTGCGGGACGGTTCTGCTCCGGCCTTGGCTTTCGCCGAAAAGTCGGGCGAAAAAGAGCTACTTCAGTTAAAAGCCGGCGCCGATCGGGTTTACGAGCATGTTCGTGCCCCAGTAAACCCGATCGCGAAATCCTTCGCGCTTGCACAGCCCAGGAATCGATAAACAGTAACAAAGGGGGGCACGAGCTGATTTCGACATCTTCAAAACAATGCGTGTTCATTAGTTCTTACTTTTACTGCGTTATTTGACCTGGTTATGGAGCACCGGCTTGGCAGCCGCGCGTCCGACCGGGCTGCTTTCACCATAGAAGGGAAGAAAGGTATGAAGGAGTCAGAGAGGCCACAAGACCAATCAATTTCTCAAGATTCGTATGTACAGGGAATCATGTATGTCCAAGAATTTTAACCCGCCCTCATGATTTGACCAAATGCATCAATCGTACTTGTATTTAGCAAGAGCTCGCGCCGTTACCGGTGAAGGACCCGGACTGGTACGCTCCGCTGGCGTCGTCGAGGCACTCGGCTAAAATTTCCATCAGTACTATTCATCGATGCAGTAGATTATTTTTCACTTACCAACAGTAACCAGCTTGAGGTTGTTCTGCTTAGCCCAGTTGATCAACCAGGGCGTCAGGGTCTGCACCGTGGTGGCATAGGTCTCGTGCATGAGAGGGATGTGTCCGTTGCCGCTGGCGCCGGCGGCCGTGAACTTGGCCTCGCTCTGCGCAGGAGTCTGGTTATTCCAGTCGCCGCTGTCGACGTCATCCGTGATGACCTTGTAGCCGAGAGATCCCATGGTCGAGAGTACGGAGCCGCCGGTGGCCAGGTAGGGCGGGCGCATGTAGGCGGGCTTCTTGCCGATGATGTTGACCATGGCCTGCTCGAGCTTCTGCATCTCGGTGGTGAGCTGCGAGGAGCTCAGACTGCCGAAGTTGGAGGGGTGCGTCCAGGTGTGCGAGGCGATCTGGTGGCCGGAGTCGAAGGCCTTCTTGACGGCGGTCTTTTGGTTGTAGATGCAGCCGTACAGCGTGCCCGTCATGAAGAAGGTGGCCTTGGCGCCGCCGTTGTTGAGGATATCGACCAGCTGGGAGGTGTACTGGTACGGGCCATCGTCGTAGGCGAGGGCGAGGACGCCAGGCTTGGAGCACTTCTGGATTACGACGCCAGCGCTGGGGGCGCGCTTGATCAGGTCGAGGGGCGACTCGATGGGAATGGCCACAGCGCTGTTAGCCAGCAGAAGGGCGGTCACGGCGGACTCGAGGAAGTGCATGGTGAGCGATTGTGAATGTTGAAGTCAAGAGTAGTCGGAAGCGAAAGATCGAGACACCAGGCCTTGGAGAAGAGCAGGAGAATACAGGAGAGACCCGGCTTCGAGCTTGCCTCTATATATGCTTGTTTGGGTTGAGTCTTCAACAGACGACAGTGAGCCCACTTGGACCACTCCAATCTCGTCGATCCAGAGAATTAGAACGCGCGGGAGAAGCTCCTTTGTGGGGTTTTCGGAGCGACAACATGGGAATCGGCCGGGCGAGATCCCATTCGGGAGTTCGCTTCACGGCAACAGGAAAACCTTGCTTGTTCCAGGGGCTGAATACCACTGCAGCAGGCCGGCAGTGAGGGGCTCAAGGGGGTTGCGAGATGGTCGGATGGACTCGCATCGGGTTAAGTGCGATCATGGAGCAATCTAAGTGAGCCGGGGAAAGCACAGCGAGAACGGCATTGATTGAGCAGTCTCATTTAGGCTCTTTTCCAGGCCACCGGTGCTCAATCTGGAACGGAGGGTTCCGGTCAAAGGGAGATTTTGCGGGTATTGAGCTGGTGATGCGCCGGGATCGCCTGCAATGACCGGGGTCCGTCAGGGGGCACGGGGGCGGCTGTTTGGTGCAATATGACGGCTCTTCCAGCTTTGTTGCTGGAAACTCTGGACTTCTCCGCACGATAACCAGTCAACTGCCAGACTTTAAAGCTGGGTTAATGCCTCCTGCGCGGCTGAATCGGCATGCCGGCAGCGGGTGGCCAAGGGAGATCATCCGGAACCTGGAGAAGGCCAAATCCAGGCCACGACAAGTCAGTACCGTCGCGCGTCGTCTACCGGCTAAATAGAATGCTTCAAGCAACGTGACGTGCTAAATCCGGCGCTGGGACGGGAATGTTGTAGTGCTGCGGGGATGCGGAACTCAGCTGTCAGGGGTAGATGTTTGCGGTTAAGACGCTTACTCATCAACATGGTTCATCTCATCATCATCATTCAGTTGCTGGCTCAATCTTCTTCTTTCACGCTCTGATCAGAGCCCACTGTCAAGGGAGATCTCATCCGATTGTTTATGAGCTCCTAGAGTTTCTACACATTGTGCTCTGTCTTGAAATTGCAGTAACCTGGTTTGACCAGCAATCAGCCAACCATCTTATCGACATGTCTTTTCTGGGGTGATTAGGCGCGCCCTTTCGCTGTCATGACTGAGCCCAAAAGGGACGCGTCTCATTCCCCTCATTTTTTTTTTTTTGAGAGCAGAGAACTTACGGGCGCCAACGTCACCAATGTAGCAAACCAGAAATCAATTTCACCACCTCCTCGCCAACTTCTTTGTCACTTCTACTTAGTTTATCATGAACGTCGAATGTCAATGCGCCACAGTGACGTTCAAGACGCCGACCCTCGAGCCCATCGACGTGTACTGCTGCCACTGTTCTCAATGCCGCAGGCAATCATCCTCAGCATTCGGCACTTCCGCCATCTTCCCAGCCGAGGGCCTGTTTCCACTGTCCGATGAGCTCAAAGAAAAGTTGCATATCTGGACGCGACCGACCAAGAGCGGTGGACAGATGGATTGCTACCTGTGTCGCGTATGCGGGTGTCGCCTGTTCCACCGCATCCGCGACATAGATGGGACGTTGAGGCCGGCCGTCAGCATCAAAGGGGGCTCAGTTGTCGGCCTCAAGCTCGACAAGGGAAAGCATATTTGGACGAATAGCGCTGTGGTGGACATACCCGAGCCGAATGAGAGCTGGCCTGAGTCGCCTTTTACGACCCCGGGTGAG